TTTCAGTTCAAATTTAGAGTGCCGGGCATCGAATTTTCTCGTGATTTGTAACCATTAATCAAGCTCATCGCATGAAATTTCTCTGGAAAGGAAGATTATTTTCATGTCTGTGATCGTCGTTGTTTATTTCATTTTCTCGAGAAATTTACTAAGATTCCGTGCATATATAGTATTTCAGAAGTAAAAATTTCCAAGTGGCTCTAATGCGGACTGTTTCGTATTCGAGGACAAGAAAACGGTGAAAACGGTGTATATACAGTAATATGCTTTAAGTGATGTTATTATCGTATCAATGAATGGGTATTCCATCTCGAAAACAAAGGTTTTCCAAATATGGTATCAAACTCGTTAAGAATAACAAAAGGTCTTGATGAGCGCGGGAGATTTGAAAAACAAAAGGTTTTCAGAGAGCGCGAAATTTGAATATTGCGGTTGACTTAACACACCGGCTTCGGAAGAGCTCGGAAAGCGCAAAACAAATTTTAGAGGGGGCTGGTTGAAACGTGTTTTGTCACCGAGGCAAGTCACCGTGGGGAGAGGTGTTATTGCTATTTTTTAAAGAAACACTTATGATTCTACAGATAACTATTGTACTGAAAAATAAAAAGGATTATTTTGGAAATGACTAAAGACTTGCTTGGGGAACAACTATTCACAAATTTCAAGGAATGACAAAGGATGATATTTAGATATGTTGTGTAACATCCTGGTAACCATGTATTTAAAGTTAAAAAAAAATCTTCAGAGCAAAGTGGCTGGTGGACCGGAGAGTGATCCCTGTGCATTTCATCAAGATGTTTTGATAAACGAAGACAGCCTTTAAATGAACACCTCAACACGAGCGGCAGAGATAAAAAGGGTAAATAGGTTGTCAGTTGAATGAGCTAGAGCATATGATGAATCTTCCTTCAAGAGACTTGTGGATTGGTCTCAAGAAGAGAGGGATTTTAACTAAATAAACTCATTAATCATGAATTTGTAATATAACAAGTAAAAATTCACACAGCAAAAGAATATTTTTTTATAGAATAGTGCATTTTGCATCTAAAAGAGTTTTATTTTGTTCAGTTAAATGTGCTAATTTGTGGTTTTTGTTCGAATAGGAGTAATTTTCATTCTTGAATGGAAATTGCGCAATCCATTGTTAACATTACTACTTTGTGCRAGAAATACRTTGCATAAAGTATACACCCTTTYAATAAGTCTCGAGGTATTACGTTCTCCGCACTTGACGKCAAATTTATTCTTTTGAATTCCTTTTGTATTGTAAAAATTTCAAAAGAATAAATTTGACGTCAAGTGCGGAAAACACAATACCTCGGGACTTATTAAAAGGGTGTATAATCATACCGTAGATGGCTCATTTGTCCTTTTTCTTTAGAATCGCTCTCTTATTTTAAAATATATTTATAATTATTCATAAGTATTATTACTGCTATTATTATTTATTGTTTCTACCTATATCGCAATTTATCTTTATGTTGAGATACTTGGTGTTGTTAGCGGTATGACCTGCAAGAAAAAGGTATTTGATATCAAACCATTGCGGAAAATTACATGTTGTGTAGGGGGGTGGATTCATTGCAGCTATGGATAATACAGACAAAGCAGTCAATCTGCGGAAAGAAGGCCAGACTACATTCGCTGCCAAAATTACTTGGAACGACTAGGTCCCTGTCCTGTTAGTATAGTTTACAACATTCGCGTCCGTGTTGTATGGGAATTACAATCTCGAGCCGCAGGCGAGAGATTGTAATTCCCATACAACACGGACGCGAATGTTGTAAACGACTTATAAAACTCCAACACAAATTAACATGAATTACAGTGAGATAAATGACGAAAAATGACAAATAAGGTAACTGCTGAGTTTAGTCCCTATTAAGCATGCGCAATTTACTGCAACACAGAACATTTTGAATAATTATCCATCCCACATGGAAAGCAAGCCATCTGTTGCATAAGCGAGTTCTGTTATCCGTCTTTGATTGCTTCAAAAACTAGTGAAGGTCTATGATGCGACACTAAAACTGAGACCTTTGCTAGTGTTGGGTTGTCTCAATGGTGACGACCGTGTTGTAAATCTGATACAACCACTAGTGTTTGTATCAGATTTACAAGGTCAATCACCTGATTAAATGATCAGCCCTTATTGGAGCAATAGCTTATGCATTATTAATAAGTTTTATAATAACTTTTCAATCATTCCTCACTCCCCCTTAAAATCAATGTTGCTGACGACTCGCAAGAAACAAGCAACACTGAGAGGGGGGAAAGATGTTAGTCATTTGTTTTTGCGYAGTATGAAACGCAAATAAATGTCTAAACGTTCCAACAATTTTGGAAACGATTGTAGGTGGTCGCACGATAGAGTTTGGTCGTTTAGAGAATAATTAAATATACCAGATGAATTATTATGTTTATAATACAGCAATATGCTCATATTTCAAGTATATATATAAAGTATATCTGAAATTATGGGAAATCATCGCCAATATTTTTTTTTCAGAAAGTACTAGTGCTAGGCAACTTCAAAAAAATATTGGCGATGATATCCCATAATTTTTAATATRTTTTATATTCTTTATATAATTTCTGCATATTGCTGTATTTCAGGAAATATTTAACATCACAGGCCAGTTGATGGTGAGTAACGGGTGAATAGAGTAGATCAGTTCCATTACAGATGGCATCATACCTGTTTCACTTGCTGCCAAAGTCAACAAATGCGTCCTTAAAATCTTGAGGCTCATCTCCCTCACAGAAAATGGAAATGGCTGCCATGGGATGGCTGGTTTGCTTTAAATAGTTCTATGAAACACAAACCAACACTGTAAGATGCACACAATTACTAATCCACATAAACTCACTTCAAATAATAAGATCCTTGTCGTAAGTAAATGAGTCGAGATTGAATTAATCCTTAAACAAATTATTCCTGACTAAACTAGACACTCTTCTCTACTGATTTGCGAAGATCAAGCTATGAAGATGTTTTTTTTATATATTTCGACAACTGCAACGTTGCACAGTGTTTAAAGATTTACTCAAAAGATATTCAACCGAGTACTAAACTAGAGTTTGAGTTCATGATGAAAGTAAAGAACTAATATATGACGTCTTTCTTCCTCGTGTTCTTAGCAAGGGCTAATTAGCACTTCTGGAAGGCAGGCTACATTTGGCAGCCTACAGGAAATTGAGAAGAAGTAGAAAAATATCTCAGGATGAATCCAAAAATCGATATAGTATAAGGTCAGAARCATAACTTGAAGACTTACATGACCTTTCTCAAGTGATGTCCTCTTTTCATCAATRCTTGCTTTGGAGCCAACCCAAATAAAAAGCTCATTTCCAGTGTCCAAAAGGAATACTGTCACAAGAAAAAAACAAACATACAAGATGCATAGAATTCAAAGAATGAATATTCGATTGACAGTAATGATTTTTCATGGAGTAARTCATTTAGGRCTAAATCATCACAGAATGGACGATACTTCGATTATAAGGCGGCCATTTTGCCCGATGGTATTGATTCAGATTCTTTAGAGGACGTTCCGCTAACCGTGAACCCATTCAAGACAGCAAAATCGTGAAAACCATACCCTATATTCAAGACAAATTGGTAAAATGAAGACCCATTGTTCTTTTGAATTGAATGATTACGCCATAAATAAATTCCACTTAGCAAAATATATGCTCTTATAAGTAGTTCATTTATTGACCATCAAAAACATCAATACCGCGCTGACAATACCATTAAACCTTCAATACCATTAAACCAATTCAATACCATTAAACCTTTTTGCTGTTCTCGTATTTAATATGCGATTTTCGTAGGCCATTTTATTTTTGACCTTTTGTATAGTTCAAACAGATTTCAACACCGTAAAGCAAGGTGATCTAGGGGTATTTCGTATTTTTAAATAATACAGGCAGCTACTCTAACAATTTAAAAATATAATTATATAGCCACATATTAATCCCAAATAGGTAAAAGCTGGATTTTTCGTTAATTTTGGAATCCTGTCCAATTAAGAAATTAATTGGACAGGTTTTCAATTGGGTTTTTGTTAAAAGCTGTGGTTGGCTTTTACCTATTTGGGATCAATATGTGGCTATATAATTAATAGGTAATAAGACTCCATGCTGTCCAATTAAGAAATAATTAGACTCGAAAAATTCCTCTGACTGCCAAATTGGACTCGGCCACGGCCTCGTCCAATTTTTGGCAGTCCTCGGAATTTTCCTCGTCCAATTATTTCTTAATTGGACAGCATGGAGTCCTATTACATATAA